TTATACACTGGGGTCATCCAGCATGAAGCGTCCCCGATGGCGTGTACCTCGATGGGAGTCGAGGCTCTTTCGATGACCGGGCGTGATAGGGATTCTTGTATGACGGATTTGTTCCCGCCCTTCTTTCTTGTGCTCGCGAGTTTCAAAAGTATGTCGACCCTTGTATTTTGCTCGCGCGGGACGTGTGATATTTCAGCTCGGTCGAACGTCCTCATGTGCTTTCTTACCAAGTTTAGGTATTCAATGAGGCTGTCGTTTTTGGCCTGGTAGCTCCCCTGGACTTGGGAAGCGACGAGTTGGGAGTCCGTGAAAATTTGTACTTCGCGTGCTCCTAGGTCCTCGGCTAGCCTTAGTCCTGCGAGCAGGGCCTCGTACTCTTCTTGGTTGTTCAAATTTGGGAAGGAGATGGTTAACGAGTGCTCGATCACTACGCCCTCCTCATTTTCTAGGAGGATCCCTGCGCCACTTTCGGATGAGCTGGAAGCTCCGTCGACGAAGATGGTCCACTTGTGCTCTTTCCCTGCGGGCGGGTCGTGAGCGGTCATTTCCGCGACGAAGTCGGCCAACGCTTGTACCTTTAGAGCTTTCCTACTCTCGTATTGTATGTCGAACTCAGAGAGTTCCAAGGACCGTTTCAACATTCGGCCCGCCATGTCAGGTCGACCTAATAGTTGTTTTACCGGTTGGTCGGTTCGTACTATGACTATGTGGGCCAGAAAATAATGTCTAAGTCTCCCCTCCGTGCTGACGAGGGCTAGAGCTACTTTTTCTATCTGTTGGTATCTGCTCTTAGGTCCTTGTACGGCTTTGATCGTGAAATAAACGGGTTTCTACCCGTCGGTGGTCTCGCGAATGAGAGTCGCGCTGATGGCTTCATTCGAGACGGCCAAGTATATGAATAAAGGCTCCCTGTCGATTGGTCGAGACAGTACGGGCGGTTGGGACATGCTTTGTTTCAGGTGGCGCAGTGCCCGTTCACATTCCTCGGTCCATTCGAAGGCCGCTTCTTTGCGAAGGAGTCTGAAGAAGGGGAGGGCGTGCTGAGCGGATTTTGCGACGAAGCAGGATAGCAAGGTGAGCATACCGTTCATGACTTGTATTGATTTCTTCGACGTAGGTGTCAGGAGGTCAGAGAAGGCTCGACATTTGTCGGGATTGGCTTCAATTCCTCGTTCTGTTAGGTAAAACCCGAGGAATTTCCCCGCCTTGACTCCGAACGTGCACTTTTCGGGGTTGAACCTCATCTTACATTGCCTTGCTTGGGCGAAGACTGCTTTGAGGTGGGCTGCATGATCAGTGTCTGCTTGGGATTTGACGATCATGTCATCCATGTAAACCTCGGGCATGTCCCCGATTTGGTTATGGAACACTCTATTCATCATACATTGGTACGTTGCCCCCGCGTTTTTTAGACCAAAGGGCATTATGTTGTAGTAATAGTTGCCCGAGTTGGTCATGAAGGCAGTGCAATGCTTGTCGCTCATGGCCATTTGGATTTGGTTATAGCCTGAATAGGCATCCATGAACGACAGTATTTTGTAACCGGTCGAATTGTTGACCAGCATGTCTATGCTTGGTAAAGGAAAAGCATCCTTCGGGCATGCCCGATTAAGGTCGGTATAATCAACACACATCCGCCATTTTCCATTATTCTTTTTAACAAGTACAACATTTGACAACCAGGTTGAATACCGGGCTTCAGAAATAAAATTCGCCTCTAAGAGGTCTTTTACAGCTTTTCCAGTAGCCTCTGTCTTCTACGGAGACTGCCTACGCCTACGTTGTACTACTGCCTTAACGGTTGGATCTATGGCGAGACGATGACAGGAGACCTCGGGGTCGAGTCCGGGCATCTCTGCGGAGCTCCATGCGAATAAGTCAGCATTCTCGCGCAAGCAGGCTTTGATCTTCTTTCTTGCTAGGTCGGGGAGATCGGTACCAATCTTCACTCCTTTGCTCGCGTCTTCGCCGAGGGGGACGAGCTCGAAGTCCCCGTCTGGAATTGGCCAAAGGGGGATTTGCTCATTGTAGGGAGGTTCATCTTGATCGAAGCGGGTGTCCAGAGCTATGGAGTCGACCTTTGGGGGAGCTTTCTGCTCTTCTGCTTTGACGGGCTCTGGTTTGTCGGGCTCTTGTCTTGTCGTTGCTAGTCTCTTGGCGGGCCTTGTCCCGATGTCGACCGTGTCGCGTCCCTTGGATGCAGCATTGAAGCATCTTCGAGCATCGGCCAGGTCCCCCTGGATGGTAGCAACCCGTGCCCTCTTGGTGTAGAATTTCATCTTCAAGTGGACGGTGGAGGGTACCACGGTCAGTTCTGCTAGTGTTGGTTGTCCCAGGATGCAGTTGTAAAGGGACGGGCAATCGATCACGAGGAAGCGGACCTTGACCTGCCTCGTTGCCGTGTCCTCGCCAAAGGTAACCATGAGCTTGACGTATCCCCAAGGTTTGGAGGTCGAGCCGTTGAAGCCCTGTAAGTCTGACCCCACGTAAGGTGAAAGGTGTGAGTCGTCGAGCTGTAGGGTCCGAAATAGTTGACTACACATTACGTCGACGGAACTTCCTTCGTCGACGAGGATGCAGTGTACGTCAAAATTAACCATTCTTGCTCTTATCAGTAGAGGAATGACTGCGTTGGGGGCTCCTCCGGGGAGCTCTTCGAGGTAGAAGGTGATAGGCTCCGACCTACCTTTCACCATTTCAAAAGTCACCGTCTGAGGAGGTGCAGAGTCGACCAGTTCATCAAGCTTCCTTTTGGCCGAATTTATGGTTAGGTCGTTGAATCCTCCGCCATTGATGACCATGGCGGAGGGAAAGTGCTCCCACCTGCTATGTGTTGACAACGGTTCTTGCAGGTGCTCGGGGACGTAGAAGTCCTCAGGTCTTGTGACGAAGAAGGTGGTCTGGATGGGGACTGACTCGTTAGATGGTCGGGCATCCTCCTCCGATTCTCTTGTATCCCGGGCGTCACGACGAGGAGCATCGTTTCGCTGATACTGGACGAGTCTTCCCCCTTTTATGAGGGTCTCGATGGCGTCCTTGAGGTGGACGCAGTCCTCTATCAGATAACCGTGGCTCCTATGGTACTGACAGTATTTGCTCTTGTCCACTCCGGGCTTGGCAGGAGCTGGTCGAGGGCGCTTGACGCCGCCATCTTTGAAATCCGTGCTGGTGCACTCTGCCAAGATGCGCTCGCGGGAAGCTGTGAGCAGAGTGTATTCTGTGAAACACCCCGAGGGTCCTCTCTGTTCTCGGACTTCTCGGGGTCTGTCCTCTTTTCTCTTCTCCCCTGTTCGTCGGGGAGGAGCTGGCTCTTGGCGCGGGTTGCTGCTGGATCCGCGAGTTCTGGGGTCCCGGGCTCTGTTGGCTGCTTCCCTTTCCTCGTAATCCATATATGCCCGGGCCTTCTCGAGGAGAGCATAGAACGTTTGGGGTGGTTCGATGCCCACCGCCTTTCTGAATTATGTGCCGGGGAGGAGCCCTCTCTCCAGCAAGTACCTTTTCATGTGGTCTACGCAGGGGACCTGTATGGCTTCGCGATTGAAGCGGTTGATGAATTCTCTCAAAGTATCGTCCTGCCTCTGGACGATGGCCTCGAGTGCTGCCTCGGTCTTTGGATGTCGCTTAGATGCAGTGAACGAGCTTATGAATTGATTCTTCAGGTTTCACCACGAGGTGATTGATCCAGGGGCTAGACCTTTATACCAGTCCATTGCTGCCTTTCTGAGGGTAGTGGGGAACAACCGACATTTGATAGGTCCCCCGACGTTGTGGTAATGCAACATAGCCTCGAACCCGTCTATGTGGTCGATTGGGTCCGCGACTCCGTCGTATTCTTTCAGATGAGGAGGCTTCTCCATGCCCGGGGGAATGGGTGCCTCCATGATGGCTTGTGAAAGGGGACCGCGGGGGTCGTCCTCGTCACTTTGCTTTGGGGATAGGGACGGGGACCTGAGATATTGCCAGGATCGACGGTCCTGGTCGGGCTGAATGCCCCTCGAGCGGGATGCTCGTTGGTCCGCCCTCCTGTGCTTGTCTCCAGGGTGTCTTCTTTCTTGCTGCAAGGGGCCGTGGTTGTGCCCTCCGACTTTGATGACGGGTTACCTCTCCAAGGGGGGCCGTCTCCTCGGTGGTCGGGGTGACGGGCTTCAGGAGGTGTCCCTGTATTGCCGCCGCGGGGGAGACGGGAGGCGTACCTCTGTTACTCGAGGAGGTGGGGTCTGAGGCCTCCTGTGCCTCCTCGGGGGTCTTCTGTCGTCCTCTAGCGCCCTCAATCTTTCCCCCTGGGCAAAGATGAGGTAGTTGGTTTGATTGATCGCTGCGAATAGTGCGCGGGTCGTGGCATCTTCCCTGGCGGGGACAGGGACTTCCTGAAATTGGGCAGCTAAATAATTCAGGGGAGCCGTATTGTCTTCTTCGAGTGGCGGAAGGACTGAAGAAGATGAGGCAGTAGCTCCGTCACGGTGGCCCAAGGGCCCGAGGATGGTGCCCCTGGGGAGTGTGCTATGGTCGGGGTTACCGGCGTTGTCGGGGACTCTGTTCTTGTCCGCGAGGTTGTGGTTGACGTCGACGACGCGGACGTTCTGGTCATCCCGAACTTGGTCAGTCATGACGGTAGGGTGTGATTTTTAGCTTTGGTCTTTGAGAGTTTGTAAGACGGGGAAGCTAGTTTCCCACAGACGGCGCCACTGATCTTACCGGATCAGACTTGAACCGTTACGATTGGCTCGAGCAGAATTTGAGTGAGATGGGGGAGGGGGGGGGGGTACCTGCAAGACACTCCGATGCTAAAATGAGTGACGGAATGAGCAGGCAAAAAATGTATAGGTGTGTAATAGATGAATACCTGATCCTCTAGGAACAAAGGGTATTTATAGCCCCATCGCTGGGCCAAGGTCCCCTCATTGGGCTGACCAGAACTGACCCAACAAAAGAACTGTCAGGTTCTACGTGCGTAGTGCGGCCCCGTACGTGGTCCCCTTCCTGGTGGTGCTCTGCGAAGAATGAGGAGGGACGAAGACGCGGTCTTTCCGGAGTTTAGAGGATTCGATAACGGTCAGAATGGACAGAATCTGCCCTACGGGGAGGGTGCTCGAGCAAGACTCGAGCTGGAGTTCCCTTGGTCGGGGACACTATGTGTCGCGGGCAATGGCGGGCATCGCGGCTACATTCTGTGGTCGTGCACGTTGGCGGTGATCCGCGGACGCGCATTCCTCGAGGAGTCTGCTTGGATTGGACCTTTATCTGCGCTTTGGGCCAGGGTGGGCCCAGTCCAGAACAATCTTTATTAATCTCTCATCTCCTCTATTTTTAATTATAATATTTTTTATATTATTTTATGTTTATTATTTTACTTTTATCTAATATGTTTTAGATATTAAATGGAAAATTATGGTCCAAATATGATGAATTTTATTATTATTTAATAGTATATGAAAGACTAAATACAAAGTTAAGTTATCATGTTTAGCTGTATGTATGACTCAATGATTTTTTTGAAAAAATCGAACAAACCAAATCAAACTAAACTATTTAGTTTGAATTGAGTTAATTCGATTTTATTTCTAAAAGCCAATCAAACTAAATTAAACTGCACTTTTTTCTTTTATAATTTAAATGATTTTTTAGGTAAAACAGCATAACAAACCCCCTAAATAATTAATTAAGTGGAAATTCATTTTTTTCTTCTGAAAATAATTTCAATCTAGTTTTTTTTTTTCCGGTTTCTTTTAATAAATAAAATATTCCCAATAAAAAAAAAATTCTTTCCTCCCCTGTTAAGAAAAAGCAACGTTGTGTTGTGTGAATTGCTTCATTCCCTTCTTTTGCAGTTTCGGTTGATCATTCCCAAACTATTACTCTCTCGATCGATCAACTAGGGTTTCTTCCAATCCATTTTATCCATCTCGATCTCGCCGCCGCAACCGCAACCGCAACCGCCACTGTAAGCTACTTTTGTTCGTCTCACAATATAGCAATTCATCAAATCTGCTTTCTAAATTTTGTGCCAATTGTGTGCTTTCGTTGCTCTGTTGATTTTTTTTTTTGGAACTCTCTGATTCAAATATACTAATTGATGAAGATTAAGAAAGCGTTAAGTTGCCACAATTGGTTACAAAATTGAATTTTTCAGCCCTCTTTTTTTAATTTTGTTTTGGGTACAGGTATTTTGTATGCTTACGGGGATTGGAAATTTCAAGTTATCAAACAGAGATTTAGCAGAAGATGTTTTGGAGTAAATTTCGGGATGATGAATGGCTTTCTTATTCAATACGTTTTCTTAGAGAAGTAAAGTTGAGTGGTTATATATTACACACCATTTCATTGCCTACATATGAGTTTTGGTGAGGAATCACACATGGCCTATAATATCATATTGTTGGTTGTTTGTTCAGTTAGGAGTTTAATATAGTTAACTTCATTTTTCCCGATCGAGCTAGTGTTACTACCAATACTGGTAAAAAATTTGGAACGGTATAGTTGCGGAATGGACGATGATATAGATTTTGAGTTCTTTCTCCACACATGGAGTACGAAGAATCCGACGGATCGTATTTTCATTATATCTTGCTTAGTTGCTGCCCTGGTTGGGATTTTGACCATCTTCTATACGGCTTTTCAGTGGAGGAGAAACATTAATCTAAGTTGGATGAAAGCGATAGCTAGATCTAAGAAAAACCCAAAGGCAAAGCACAAAGTTCCTGTTGCCCCTCATACTTGGGATCTAGAGTCTGTATCTCGTGCAAAGAATTCGAACTGCTGTGTATGCTTTAAATCCATATCACCTTCTCAAACTCTAGGCCCTATAGTAGCTTCAGACAGTTTTATCCACCGGTGTGGTATTTGTGGTGCAGTAGCTCATCTAAGTTGTTCTTCTAGTGCACACAAGGACTGTAAGTGTGTTTCTATGATTGGATTTGAGCATGTCTTACACCAGTGGGCTGTTCGTTGGACAGATGTAGCTGACCAGCCCGATGAACCTACTTTCTGTAGTTACTGTGAAGAGACGTGTGGTGGGACCTTCCTCAGTGGTTCACCTATATGGTACTGCTTGTGGTGCCAACGTTTAGTACACGTTGATTGTCATGGTTCAATGTCTAATGAAACAGGTGATATATGTGATCTGGGCCCTTTTAAAAGATTAATACTGTCTCCTCTGCATGTGAAGGAATTCAACCGGAACTTGCCAGGTAGTTTTCTTAGCTCAATTACCCATGGTGCAAATGAGATAGCATCTTCAGTTCGAGCAAGTATTAGGAGCCAGAGCAAAAAGTACAAACCCGGAAGTGAAACACAGGTTGAATCGGGGAATAGTGAGAGCACTGGTGAAATATCCACAGAAAGCACTGCTGATTCTCATCAAATAGCTAATGGTCATCATATAATAGAGGAAAAAGATAGCGTTGCATCAAATGAAGAGGTTCAACAACAAAATAGTGAAGTAGATAATAAGATGGACAGAAAACCCAGTTTCAGGCGCAATTCATCTATAAATCAGCGGGAGGACTCCCAGGTGTCAGGAGTGAAACAGAATTATGAGTTGACTGGTTTGCCTCCGGATGCAAGACCGTTGCTAGTTTTTATAAACAAAAAGAGCGGGGCCCAGCGAGGAGACTCACTTAGGCTGCGTCTGAATATTCTTTTAAATCCTGTTCAGGTTTGTTACTCTGCTACATATTACAACATCTGGTTATATTTGGATTTTTGTTTGTTGCTTTCAATGTTCTGCACTGCAATTTTTGCAGCCTTTTTTTTCCCCTTCTTTTGATTTATGCATTGGGGCTAATAGGCCACAAATGTCCATCAAGTACTCATCCATTTTTAATAAATTTATGTATGCATAACAAAGTTACTACAATGTTGACATCTTCTAGTGGTATACATGAAAGACTCCTAAAAAAGAAGAAAATAGTTCTCACACTTTTTGTGAAAACTTTGACAATGTGATAATTGAGCTTCCTTCGTCTTCTCTAGGTATTTGAATTGAGCTCATCACAGGGGCCAGAGACGGGACTTTATTTATTTAGAAAGGTGTCTCACTTCAGAGTTCTTGTATGTGGCGGAGATGGTACTGTTGGTTGGGTTCTGAATGCAATAGAAAAACAAAATTTTGATTCCCCTCCCCCAGTTGCCATTCTTCCCGCCGGTACTGGAAATGATCTCGCTAGAGTTCTCTCTTGGGGAGGTAGCTTGGGTCCAGTCGAGAGGCAAGGGGGCCTTACCACAGTTTTGCATCATATAGAACAAGCTGCGGTTACTATTCTTGACCGGTGGAAGGTAACAATCAGTAGCCCACAAGGAAAGCAACAACTCCAACCCCCAAAGTTTATGAATAATTATCTTGGTACGTGAATGCATTTTTTTCATGGTTACTATGAATTACATTTAAATGTATTGGTTTGAAACATTTGGTAAGTCAGCTTCGTAGACTTTATCAAAGAGCTAGTTCCTTTTGGGTGGTGGGTAGGGTTGGGTGGATTATATTATAGATGAGGGGAGAGATGCCTTTAGAGCTTTATGTCACGGTCTGGTACTCTAGTTTGAATCCGAGTATGGTTGATACAAATTGAAGTGTCTGTTTATTTGTTTTGATTTGCGCATTAATCGGACGAGTTACATTTTTATTTTGTCAACTTCGATTCTACTCTGACTGTTGGATAGTTGAAATGCATTAGTTATGATCATTGTCTGGAATTTTGAAAATTATTATGGAATACATGCGAATGTAAAGGCATTATGAATGCCTTGATTTTGCCCTCTATCCTCTAAAGAGCATCCCTCATTTCAGAGGAGCCGAATCCAAGGGTTAGCTTATGTAGATTTGAGCATTCAACTCAGGCACCATTTTGACTGTATTCTCATGAATGTACTTGAATCAGTATAAGTTATTCTTCTCTATCAGTTATCATCAGCCTTTATTTTGAATACTGAATTAGAAATTAGATGCATTCATCTTGATTTTTATTATAGACTAAATCATCTGCTGATTTTCAAGTTATAGCTACGTTTGCCTTATCATGACTAGTTTTGTATCTAACAAGTATTTGGTTTTAGGAATTGGTTGTGATGCAAAGGTTGCTTTGGACATCCATAATATGCGGGAGGAAAATCCAGAGAAGTTTTATAACCAGGTATTTAATGTGTAATTCGTAATTGATTTTGAGTTGCTTGGCGTATTAAGGTTAGCATCTAACACGATCCCAACAAAAATTGGCTCACCAGTGTTTTCCTCACGGCCATCAGATTACAATAAAAATAATGGATAATAATGATTAAAAATTAGGAAATTTGATCTCTATCATTCATTTAAAAAACTAAATCAAAGAACGATGTAAGGGAATCACTAATGTACCTTCTTTAATGGGGTGCATCTTATTATACTCTGAAGCTTTAGTTCAAGAAAATGAAAGTTTATTAAAATAGGCAGCTGGGCAGATTGAATGGTATACTGGTATAGAAGTATTTGTTATTATTTTTGTTAGAGGGGTTTGTGGTATAAAACCACATCCTCTCTATTATTTTTGCAAATGCATAAGAAAGCCTCATGTGACGAGTAACTGATTCACAACTTAAGCTAAAGTAACAAATTAACAACTCCAAATAGAAAAGAATCAAGGTTTTGTCAAAACAAAAACCTAGAACATGAAAGGGAAAAGTACAACTGTTGATATCTAATCTAGCAAATTATCCAAGCCAAAATATAATCATCTTCCTAAATCATTCAAGCCACGATTACCATAACCATTTTTCATAAGGAAGGAGAAGAGGCTGAACCAGTGCCCAGAATTACGTCGAACTGCCTCCTCCAGACCTTCATCATGAAAAACCTTATCCGAACCAGCTCCTGGAGCTGAGCCAGAAGTAAATTGAACCAGACATATAAAAGAGAGCAGCGGCCACCTAGAAAAACAGTGGCTGATCTAACCTTCAGTTAACTATTTAAAGAGGCCACCAAATAGAATAAGATAACCAGAGCATACCCTTAATTGGATAAACCTACCGAGTTATTCCTCAAATAATACTGGTAACTCCCCCGCAAAGCCTTTACATTTTTTTCAAGGTGAAAGGCAGGCAACTCTTGCAATCTTTTGGTCCATTTCCATGAATTTTCAAAGCTTGCAGGTTCTCCTGTTTGAATAGAACTTCAACGTGTACTTCCTAAATCTTGTCGTCAAACTTGAAGTACATGCTTCAATTTCACACTTGCTATTAGCTGCACGGTTCCATCGGTTATCTTAACAAGCATACGATGATATTCAGTGTATTGGAAGTTTTAGGTTCAATGCTGAATTTACTCTTGACATATGCAGTTTATGAATAAAGTTCTATATGCAAGAGAAGGTGCTAAAAGCATAATGGATAGGACATTTGAGGATTTCCCTTGGCAGATTCGTGTTGTGGTGGATGGAGTTGAAATTGAGGTCCCTGAGGTGAGTTTTTTAAGAATAAATAGTCTTTATTTATTTATATAGTCATTTTATATAGTTATTTATTTCACATTTCTCTGTTTTTTTTGTGTGTAGCTGCTGAGAGTATAATAACAAATTGCATTAATTTGTGTGACTAACTCTAATTATATGATATTGGCAAGCCGGTAAATTTTCAGAGTCAATTACTTACACTTTTACCCCTCTCTATGTTTCGCATAAGAGTAACCAAAAGTTTAAATCTTGCACTGTGTTTACCTTTCTTATGCATGGGGTTGACCTTTTGATAAATAGATAATGCAAGGGGCTATCTTATCATGTTAAAATTCAATTCAGCGGTGTGTTTACTAAGTTTTTGTCTTTTTGAACAGAGGGGGATTCAGACTCATGTTAGGGGACTCAAATTTTTATACTAGAATTTGTTTTAGTTTCCTATGTATTATATAACCTACCTCCACCAGTATAAGAGCTAGACCCTTTTCTGACTTGTTCAATTTGGTTTTCAATTCCATCCAGGATGCTGAAGGGGTTCTTGTTGCAAATATTGGAAGCTACATGGGAGGTGTAGACTTGTGGCAAAATGACGATGAGAATTATGATAATTTTGATCCACAATCTATGCACGACAAGATACTTGAAGTTGTGAGCATATCTGGAACATGGCACCTGGGGAAGCTTCAGGTAAAAATGAATATCATCCCCGTTTTAGTGATGTACAGTTTTAGGATTCACATTGCCTTAAAATTAAAGGGTCTTACTTGGGATTTAATACTGATATAGAAAGTATGCAGCTCACTTATCTTTTTAAAAATCTTTACTTGAACTATATTCAAGATTGATCTGGATTATAGAACTAGAGCTTGAATGTTTACTTTTTATTATCTTTTAATGGAGCAAGATCCCCATCCATCTCAGTTGTATAATTGTATTTAGTCTGTGGCCTCTGTTTCTTCTACCTTATTTCATATTTTTAGTCTTTAAGCTCTCTTTAGTTTTAAGGCATGCTTGAGTTTTGATTTAGACTGAGACATGATATGTTTGTCTAGATTAAGTTTTACGGAATTCAAATTATGAAATCGTGATGCTCAATTCCTCTGTCTATTGTTTTGTCAATATAGGTTGGGCTTTCTCGAGCTCGAAGACTTGCCCAAGGACAGTCAATTAAGATACAATTATTTGCTAAGTTTCCTGTTCAAATTGATGGAGAACCTTGGTTTCAGGAACCCTGTACAGTTTCCATAGCTCATCATGGCCAGGTTCATTTTAAAACTTCTCTACCCCCAATTTACATTACTGGCAGTGCAACCTCCTACTTCGTTACCTATTCCGCGCTTTACATTTCATGCCCTCTAGTCTTTTTTCTTACTATATAACTGAATTTCAACGTGTTTTGCAATCCTGCACAAGTTGGTGGTGGGGATATATTTGCCGATTTTAATGTTTTCTGTAATGAAATGTTGTCTTCTACTGAAATTTGTCACTTCCTACATCTCAGGAAATGCTCGGTGCTGCCAAGAAAATTTAACTGTGATAGAACATAAGTTTGTATCATCTTCTTTCTTACTGTGAGCAATTTTGTTTAGTATTTTTTGTTGCTGTTCAGGCCTTCATGTTGAAGAGAGCGGCTGAGGAACCTCTTGGTCATGCAGCTGCAATGATCACTGATGTGCTTGAGAATGCTGAAACCAATAATGTTATTAATGCTTCACAAAAGCGAGCTCTTCTTCATGAAATGGCACTCAGGCTGTCCTAGAAATTTTCTCCTTTACATCCCGTGATTACAGATTTTGTAGCAGTTATTTTGAGTATGTTTTGCACACTTCATGTATTTTCCTTTTCAAGACTTGTGTCTAAACTGCTCACCACACATGAAGTAGGCTTGTATATTATGAATATTACACATCAATAGAAAGAATGAAATCATATAGCTTCTAAGTTGATTGGTCATTGGTGTTGAAATACATGTGCAATATTTTTCAACTGTAACATGACATATGCAACAATGTCTGGAATATCCATTGTTTTATGGGTTCCACTGTGAGAAGTGGATTATGATTTTACTATTACAACTTTTATTGAAGGAAAAGAGTACGAGCTGTTATATATTGCTCTTGAGAACTTTTTTGATACGAGGTTTTGGTATTACCTTTACATTACAATTGGCTCTTGACTTTTACTATTTACAGGAAGACCTTGTCAATATGCTTTTGAGGGTCGATTTCTCACTTCACTTTCATGTTTTTTCCATAGCAAACCTTTTTTAACCTTCAACCATAGACGAGTGACGAAACCCTTTTCTCTTATTCCTCTTCCACTTGCTTGTTTGTCTTCTACTCGTGGACATGAAATCATTCTTGGTGTCTTATTACTTTCTTTATAGATACGGTTCAGGTGATGCCGATAAAAGGGGGAATTTAGGTGGAAGGCATAAGCTGGCGATGAGGTACCCGAGCCATGAATGGTCTTGTTGAGTTTGTGCTTCATTTCTTGGCAAGCTGGTGAAGATGCACTTGAGTTCTCAAAGGCCTTGTTGGGTTGTATGGTAGTCGGTTTGAACTCGAACTCAAACGAGTCGTACAATTCTGGCGATGAGGCACCAGAACCATAAATGGTCTTGTTGAGTTTGTGATTCATTTCTTGGCAGGCTGGTGAAGACGCACTTGAGTTCTCAATGGCCTTGTTGAGTTGTATGGTCATCTGTTTGAACTCAAACGAGTCGTACAAGTCGCTGCCGTTGTACTGAAAGTTGTGTCTCCTTGTAGGTTCCACCATGACATTCTCTTTCTCTTGGTTTTTCATTAGAGATAAATATTGGGTTAAACTGCAGTTTTATTTGTCTGGCATCACTTTATTTTGAGATTAAAAACATAAAATGTACACTGTTCAAAAGAGGTGGAAACGTTGCCTTGTCTTGGAAGTATCGTTGATGGAGTATGTTTTTAGCAAGGTGATTGCATTGTTTTCTACGTTATCTCATATGCATATAAAAAAATTAGTGAATTCCACTATGCAACAACAGTTCAAAAGCATTGGGACAAGAAGCATATTTTTTCAGGTACGCTTCAATTTGGCATGCATATATATATTCTAAAAAAAAAAGGAACTTAACATATTCGATTTGGTTAAATATCTGAAATCAGAATAACAGAGATCTAATCTTATTGAGATATACAGAACTATAGACAATGTGAGTCGTATCTATTTTGATATCATCATTGTTGTAGTTTATTCTTCAGTCACGCTTTGGTAAAAATTTACTTGCACAACTGCATCAATCAATTTTCGGTGTTGAATTGGTAGCAATATTTGAAGTATCCAACAAGCCAACTTGATTTTGACATGTCTTATTTAACAAATTGTTGGGCAACACTTTCTAGCATTATTCAATGAATTAAGTATCTCACTGCTATGGTATGTTACATGCTACTATGTTCAAGCCCTCAAAAGACGTTGTTTAACTTTATGGACTTCAAGATGACCCTAATCTCTGGTGTGGATAATTTGACAATTTAACTTAATACCGCAGAGTTGATCTTGGCAACCTCAGGAAAAACCATAATAACCCTAATCAAAGTTTCTATCATTTTTAAGATTCACTTACACGAAGAGCAAATTTCAAATCTCAGCCGATTTTGGAAATTTTAAGAGCATACCGAAAATTCTCACAGACAATATCGTAAATTTTAAGTGCATACCAAAAATTCTTCAAAAAAAGTAACATATCATAAAAGTGGAAATTATCGAGAGATTTTCTCAGAAATTTCAGAATTTCCGTGAGAATTTATCGGAAATTGTGAAAATTCCGATATATTTTACCAAAAATTTCAAAATTTCTGAATTTATTAAGGTTATGTTATCGTAAATTTTGTTATTTTTGATAGTTCAATTTTTTTTTGAAAATTTTCGATACAATCTTCTTACTCTAATTTTTGAATTTTTTTTCCATTTTCAGTGAGGACTAGAGGGAAGGACGGGTCCATTGGAGGCATATTGATTAATAGAGCGGTAGCTCATATTAGGGCTGTTGAGACAGAGGTTTCATATTTACGGGTTGGACAAGTTGCTTTGCACTGAAAATAGATGGTTGAGTAGGCGTAAGGTCAGTTCCACGGACCCCGATGCCGAGCAGGTAGAGTACCTGCTGGTGTGGAGGTTTTTGTAACGCCCGTTAATTTAATTAATTATTTAATTAAATTAATTACAGATTAATGATTGAAAATGTTGTTGAAATTGTTGAAGTTGCGAAATATCGAGAAATATTGATTTAAGTTACTAAGTTGTTATTTGGTTGATTAATATTAGCAATAATATTAATAATAATATTAGAATAACATAAGGTTTATTAGTTGGGCTCATTATTTGGTTGTATGGAGTAATAGGCGGGGTGTGAGAGTGAGGCCCAATAAGAATAGTAATAATTATAAGGTTAAGCTAATTATAAGGAGAATTAGGTTAATTGAACAAGTCTTGGAGAATTTTGTGGGAACGTGAGAAGTTGCAAAGTTACAGAGAAGAGGCAAAAGTTGGAAGCTACGGCGAGAGACTTTAACCGGTAGAATAGAGCGACCTCCAATCCAAGGTAAGGGTGGGGTTATGATTATCTAATGGGTTACATGATAAATTTTATGTGGGAATTGGTTCGTATGAAAAACCTGCTCTGTGTGTGTGAACAATGTTTAATACTGTGTTGGATTATTGTTGTGTTCTTGATGTAAATTAGTATAAAGTTGTAGGCCTATGGCTAATGTTGAGATGTTATGTTGTTGTGATTGTCTCTGTGAATTCTTGTTGATAATGTGAAGTTGCAGATAATTTTAGATGATAATGAATTACCTCTATTTACTGGTAATAATGGCGATGTGGACTTATGCCTTGTGATGCATGATAATTGTTGTGAGTATGTGATAGTGCATTCATTGAGTCACATACATTTGCGTACTCTGTGATGGCCTGGATTGACAAACTGCGAATAAGGCTTATGCCTTGTTGATGCCTCTATTAATTGGCAATTTTTAAGATGAGAGTTCTGCTCCGTTTCTAAGTTGGGAGTTCTGCTCCAATGGTACCACATGCTGAAGAAGTGAAAAACACAAGAAGGGGGGGGGGGGGGGGGGGGGTTAAATTGAAACTTAAAAATCAAAAGCAATAGACACGAGATTTTTATCCTAGTTCGCTTGATCTCAAACTACTCCAGTCCATCCGCCAAGGTGATTTCGCCTCTCTCCAACAAGAACTTAATTCACTAATCAAACTGATTACAATTCTACTTTGACAACTGCCAAAGTCTTCTTGAGTACAATCACAATCCGGTTTATCTCAAGGAAAATTAATTAATCAAAAGAAAAGATTCACTGTGTACTATTTCTTTTTAGTTACAAAAACTGCATCACTACTGTGATGTATTGCACAAATTTGGAGTATATCGTATGAATATAAATTTTGCAGATTTTTGAGATTGTATAGAGCAGTTGTCTGAAAAATCATAAACGATTTACCCTTTGAACTTGTTTATATAGGCGTGGCAATCTGTCCAAATGGAAACAAGATAATGGACACTTAATGCACTTTCCATACTGAGAAGATCCTTGTCTGATTGTAGCCATTGCACATGATATTGCCTTAATGGAAAAGTAACGCTTCAGATCTTAGGAATCTTGCATAATGCTTTGCTTCAGAACTTGGGAAGTGAGAAACATAAGGTTTTGTTAGCGTGTTGGACTTCCGTTCAAAATCAAGATATCTTTCTTTTTAGCGCATATTCTAATCATCACACTTCAGAACATTCTCATTACTTAGCTTGAGTGCTTCTGTGGATTAACTTCTGATGTCGTTTCAGTCAGAACTTCTGTACAACATAAAACACAAATTTAGAGTGCATATTTGTTCTTTGTGTTTGTTATCATCAAAACTCTTACGAGGGTTGTAGAATCAAACTATGTTTTAACAATCTCCCCCTTTTTGATGATGACAAAAACTAGGATTTTTCAATAGAAATATACAGAACAAAAAGCTTAAGAGATTCTCCCCCTGAGTTGAGTACTCAGATAGAGATGGGATACTTCCCTGAAGTTCCTTCTTATCAGAACTTTTGATGCACCTCCTTCCGTCTTTATCATAATTTGTTCTTGTTTAAGCTTTCAGAAAACAAATAAGAAGTTAAGATATTCAGAATGTTTGAGACTTAGTCCCGGTAAACTATTATTGAAAATATCTTACATTCTCCATCTTTTTGTCAGGTATCAAAAAGCAATATAATCGTAAATTATCAGAGTAAAAAATGATGATTTGTGTTGAAAATAGATTGCAATGACATCTCTCAGAAACAGAGAAGATAAGATAAAGAATACATAAAACAATTTAAAAAAAACTAAGATGCAGGGGAAAGTCGTGTGAACAACGCTTCCAGCAAGCTCTTAATCTGAGTGCTTGATTCTTCTTGCTTTCCCAGTATATCCTTGATTTCTTTGGTAGTGTCTTCTTGCTTATCCAATATATCTCTTATTCCTTTGTTTATGTCTTCTTGCTTATCCAACCTTGCATGGATTAAAGCATTCTCCTTCTTCAGCTCTTCCAGAGTTTGCATGACCAGAGACGTAGCTGGTGTTTCCTCAGAGGTTGCAAGTCGTTCAGAATACTCTGCAACATCTTTTGATTCAACTACTTCTTCAGTTGCAATTACCTTTTCTGGAGCAATAGCCAGAGGGTGACTATCAGAACATGGTTCAATAGCTTCTGAAGGTTGGTGCTCTTTCCAAGGAGCATTGTCCAGCAGAAAAATTTCTTTCTTGTCCTAGTGACTCAGAACTTGGTCTTTGAAGGCTTTTAACTGATCACTAAAGTTTTGCTGAGCCATTTCATAACTCAATTCTTTCAGCCTCTGGGATTCAGAGTTGAACCATTTTCTGAATCTATCCCAAAGAGAATCAGAAGCAGCAGGATTAGAATTCTTTTGACTTGCTTGCTTCAAAGAGGTAACCCATTCCTGTATTTCTGTTTCAAAAATCAACAAGTTCTTACCAGCATCTATTTTGGTTAAGGTTGGTTTGGGTTTGAGAATGACAATTTTATTGGTGGTTAAAGCTTGATGGTCTAGTGCTTCTAGATCAATGACAGTTCTGAGATGATTAGCTGGACGGTTAATTGGTGAGGGAGTAGGAGAATAAGAGATTAGGATTAGTGAGCGAGGACTGTTTGGTGGTGTGAAATTATATGGTGAAGGTATTTCTAGAATATCAAGAATGGAGAGAGGTTGACAAACCATGAGAGGTTCTGTTATTCCAGGAATTGAGGTAGTGGTATCAGAGTCTGTAAAAGAGTCTTCTGATTCGTTTGCGGTAGCATGTTGATTTTCTGATTCAGGGGTTTCAGAATTTGGATTTTCAGTTTGGGGAGTGAGAGGGTTTTCATTTTCTGGTTGAGGAGAGTTGGGATTTGGATGTTCTGGTTGTGGAGAGTGAAGGTGTATATTTTCTGGTTGTTGAGAGTGGAGGTTTGGATTTTCTGGGATTGGTGATTGAAAGTCTTGGTCAAAAAGTTCAATATCAGACAGAACTCTTGCAAGTTCTGGTTGATTTTGTTCTGGATTTGGATTAGGGGAGTGAGGTTCATTTAAGAAGCTACCAAGAGTTACAGAGGGATCAAACTCTATGTCAAAATCCTCAAATGTTTGTGGTGAGGGATTTTCTGTTGGTTGAGGGGGAACTATTTCAGATGTTGGAACAACTATATATTCTACAACAAAAACAAAAGATGTGTTACCTTTCTTTTTCGCAGCTTTAGGTGTCCTTTGAGAGGATCCT